CACCACCTTCCCATATTCTGTAGCTAACCATTTCATTAGTTTGTAGATTATCTTTCCTGTGTTTCTTTATCCAAAAGCAAGCAAATGTTAATTTGTATGTACTTTACTTCTTCTTTTCTCATTTAAAAGTATATGTTATAATTGCTTTATACCTTGTTTTTTTAACAACTTTATTTTTTGATTACTATATATGTAAGTATTTTTCTGTTTTAGGTCTCTTTCTTTGTCCTCCTCCTCTTCCTTTGTCCCCTTCTGTCCCTCCTCTTCCTTCCTTTGTGTTTTAGTGTTATAAAGGTGTACCCTAATTCATTCAGCTAGTCTCTTATGGATGGGTGTTTAGGTTATTTATAAGTTTCTGATGTTTTATAGAATCTGTATAGAATTATATAGTGACAAACTGGATGTGTAGTTTTGTACTTGCGGAAGTGTATCTTAATAAATTTATAGCAGTGAGCTTGTACATTCAAGAGTAAATGTATATATAGTTTTGTTAGCAGATAATCTGGGCAAAACATATTAAGCAGAGGGTACAGCAGGTGTAAAAGCTCGTAGGCAGGGGCATGCGATGTGTTCTAGGAATAGAAAAGAGGCCACGTGAAGACCAGGCCTCGGGAGAACAAGTGACCTGCCCATATCCCATACACCAGTGGCAGAGCTGAGTTAGAGTCCTGGCCTCCATGTCTCCAGTCCGTTGCAACAGACGTATTAGACAAGGAATGCATACATGAGAGACAAGAATGCATTTGACCAAGGCCAGCAATGTCAGGGCTGTTAGGTCAGAAGGGGGAAAAGTTTCTTGGATTCGAGTCAGATAAGACTTGGCAGATGAGGTGGGACATGAAGGGTGATGAGGATTGGAGTAGCAGCGAGGAGAGAGCAGAGCCGTATTTCTAGCTTTTAGTACTATGTGTGGATGACTGCTTGGAGGTGAAAGTAAATGCATGGCTTGTTTGGGAGATGATGCCAGGAATGGAATGTTTATCTTGGCAGAATGCGGGAGAAATTGGAAATAGATAAGTTAGCAGTAAATTGGGCCTTATAATGATCCTTGGATTCTAGGCAGATATTCAAAGTTGATTTAATTACCTCAAGAATCATTGTAAATTTTTGAGATAGGAATAAGATGACATGTTCCTTCATGTCTTTTATAGTTTGTGGTAATTGTGTCTGTTTTTCTCTTGAAAAATTCATTCACTTAGTCGTTCTAATGACTGTTTACTAGTTATCTATGTGCCTGGTTCTCAATGTTAGCTGATACTTTGGTATGCTGTTTTCTCTTAGATTCTTCACATCTGTCTTAGAGAATACTCAGTTGCCACCCAAGATTTCTAGCATCAATTAAGTTTTCTAATTGCTCACTGCTCTCCTTAGAACTTAATTGGTTTTAAGGTAGGGAGGAAAAACCCTGCACACTTGAAAAACAAACAGGATAGGACATGATCCTTGCTCCTAAGTAAGGGCTTGAGGAATGTGACAAAGGAGTACTTAATGTCTTTTCACTTTGGAGAAGTAAGTGGTAGTTTGTTGTATCCCTTGTTTTCCTTATACTGGAGTTAGGTCTAGAACTGTGCTGTCTAATCATGTGTCTATAGAGGACTTGAAATGTGAGTAGTCTGAATTGAGCCGCAAGGTAAAAGCATAGAATACAGTTCAGATTTCAAAGACTTACTGTGACAAAGAGAACATAGAATAAATACCTCTATAATAATTTTCTTTTATGTTGATTATGTGCTGAAATAATATTTTGAATAAATTGGATTAAATAAAATATATTAATGTCATTGATTTTGCTTTACTTTTTAAAAAAGGGCTACTGGGAAATTTTAAATTGCATATATGACTTGCATTTTATTTCTGTTGGATGGCATGGTCTATAGATAATGAGGTTTAGGTTAAACATTACTTCCTGTTGTCCCACTCTTAGTGATGCTAAATTTTATAATTTCTTCAATCCTTCATTTTAAAGATACATTTTGATTTTGATCACTTGCAGAACTTTCCATTATAAAGGTATATATTTTTAAAATCACTTTCAGAATGTTTGTTGTAAAGATACATTAAAAAAAACAACAACACTTTTTAGAACTTTCCATTATAAAGATACATTTTGAGTATTTCTCCAGAGTTAAGATCGGTTATTTCTTTTACAAATGCAAATCTGTAGAGTGATGATTTGGCATCTTGGGAATGTCCTATTCTCAATTTTTTGTCTGATGGTTTTATTACCCCAATCCTTTCCTGAATAAATTATGTTGGAGACTGTGAAAAAGAGTGATTTTTTAATGCCAAAATATTACCAAACCAAACTTGGTTTGGTTTTACCAAACCAAACTTGGATTTGCTTGTCTGGTGTGCAGCAAAGCCAATTTACTGACAGTGGGTGTGGTGAAGGGAATTAAAGCATTTATTTGTGGGGTGCCAGGCAGGGTTAATGGGCTTCCCTGGTGGCTCAGATGCTAAAGAATGTGCCTGCAGTGCAGGAGACCCAGGTTCGACCCCTGAGTCGGGAGGATCCCCTGGAGAAAGGATTGGCAACCCACTCCAGTATTCTTGCCTAGAGAATCCCATGGACAGAGGAACCTGGTGGACTACAGTCCATGGGGTCACAAAGAGTCGGACTCGACCGAGTGATTAACACACAAGCAGGGATAATGAACAGGCAGCTTGTGCTCAAAAGACTGGAACTGTCTGATGGCTTTTAAGTAAGAGTTTTTAAAGACAACATTTGGGGTGAGGGTTGTAGCTCCTTCACTTTCTTCTGATTGGTTGATGGTGAAATAACAGGCTAACATTTTGGGAATCTTAATCATCAGCTTTCTTGTTCCAGCTAGTTTCAGGTTTCTATGCTTATGGTTAGCAGATAATCACCATCTTCTACCAGGTTGGGGATGGTGGTTGGGGGGCTTAGTTTCTGTAGAAAAACTCGAAGATATGCATCAGATTGTTAGGTATATCCTTTGAGGAGCTAGGACTCTGTTTTCTCACTGAACTGTTTGCTTTTCCTTTGTTTTTGCATTCCCTCACTTCCCTAATCAGTAATTTGCCTTAGTCTACTTAGTGGGAAGGCCTTCGAGACTAAAGGCATTTTCTGCAAATAAAGAACAGGGAACATGGAGGGATTTCTGTACCTGAGAGGCCCCTGCAATATCCTGTTCAATTTCAGTCCCCCCTTTTCTTTGATACTCTTTAATCCTGAGGGGAAGAAGGGCTGAACAAGAAAAAAAAGGCTTTTTCATAGCGTGGTAAGTCATGAACTCAGCAAGGGAACTCTGTGTTTTAAGGGATTGGGTTTCAGCTATCATTTCTTTTCCGTAAATAGTTGTCATTCTTCTATAAAGAAGAACATTCTTTTTTCTTCTTTCTCTTTTTCATTTATTTTTTAGGTGAAAGAGCTGTGTGGCATTTGGATTGGTCACTTTATTCAACAAATGCTGTGCTGTGCTCAATCGCTCAGTCATGTCCAACTCTTTGCAACCCCATGAACTGCAGCCTGCCAGGCTCCTCTGTCCATGGGGATTCTCCAGGCAAGAATATTGGAGTTGGTTGCCATGCCCTTCTCCAGGGAATCTTTCCAACCCAGCGATCTGAGCCCAGATCTTCCACACTGTAGGCAGATTCTTTACCAACTGAGCCACCAGGGAAGCCCTGTACAACAGATGTTTGATGAGAGAAGCTGGAACAAATGAAATTTTAAAATACGGAACTAGCTTATGTTGCTCATTCGTCAAAGGAATCTTATTCTAATCTTTCTGCAACACTAGTACTTCTTAATTTCTGTTATTCTTATAACCTTGAATTTTCATAGATAGCACATTTATTCAGCAAATTATAGAGTGCTTATTAATATTGTTTCAGACATGTGTTAAGTACTTGAAATAGAGTGGTGAGCAGTGTGGCTGTCCTTCATGTAGGATTCATCCTTACAGTTAACAGGACAATGAGAGCCACCCGGACCTAGTGAATGAAGGCAGTCATGAAGCTATATCTGAAGGATCTTGATTGGGAGGGATTACATAGGCTTTTGCTAACAACCGTGTTCATGCTTTGAAGTTCAGAACCCTGAACAGTCATTCTTTATGGTTCTGATGAGAAGAATGTACAGTGTAGTTGGCTCCTGCTGTCTTTCGAGTGTAACAGTGAATTGTGATTGCAGACCTTTCCTCTCAGTGTGCAATTTTCTTGAATTTTTCTTCTCTAGGAGCATTTTTCTAGTGTTTCTGGTGTCCATGTCTCTGTAAGGTGTGCTTCAGAGACTCCTAAGACTCTGAAGATGCAGAGCAGTAGGGAGGCAATCACCAGCCAAGCCCTGCCTTGTTCACTAGATTCCATCTGGGCCATGTAGGGAAGAGGCAGTACCATTCTCCTGCTGTAATCAAAGAAGTCCATGGAAGAGTAGGAGACTTCTAGAATTGTGAAAATCCTTAGAGGCTTGGGACAACTTAGCATAGCTTAAACTTTAGAAAACCATCTTTTATGAGGTGGTTTCAAGCATGAACTCTGGGCTTAAATACTTTCTGTCTCTGGTCTCCGCCTCTGGGACTCATGTCTTCTTGCTGAATTGGACCAGCAGCCTTGGGGATGATGATGATGAGAGGCCCCTCCCTATCGCTTCTCAGCTATAAGGCATGGCTGAAATCTGTAACCTCTGAGTCCCCTAAGGAAAGGTCAAGTGATGCTTAGCTAGATAAATGTTTGCTAGAGTTATCTCTTCAAGGGATTTTTCCACCAAAGAGAAGTTTTCTTTTTATTTAACTTAAGCTATATCTTCAGCAGTATCTCCTTTTCATGTTAGTAAGATGGCCTTGCCCACAGTTAGGTGTGTACCTGTCTTTAAAGAAATAAGATACCTGTCAGTTACACTGCTATGACCTCAGGTTCCAGAATATCAAGGCAACATTCTTTAGGTGTTTCATTTTGGATTGAACCTAAGTTTAGAATCAGTCAGCTTATTGTTGAAGGGAAAAAGGATATCCCAAGAGACAAGAAAATACCTATTAACTATGGATTGGTTTGGAAATTACTTCTGTAAGTTTCCTGAGGATGTTTCCTTTCTCAACACACATGCACCTCTGTTGCTTTCACTCGTATCATCTGAAGATGAACAACATTTTATCTCCAACTTGAGGTAGGAAGTAGGGTGATTTTGCCCCCAGCTTTCGCTACTTGATTGGAATATCACATCAATCTCTTCTTATAAGGAGCCAGGAAAAAGAAAACTGGGCTCAGGAAGAAAGTAGCCTCTATCATTTCCCATGTGTACTTGAAAGGGAGGCAACTGACTAGTTCTTCCTGGCCTTGCTTGGCTAGTGAAAAGAGAAGACCTGACTTGGATGAAAGGGTGCCCATATATTCTTAACTTAAAATGATGAGCCCTGATCAAGTGAAACTATTTCTGGTGGCTTCCAGTAATTTCCACCCTTTTGAAATCAAAACTCAAGAGTCTTAACTTCAGTTAAGAGTTTGAAATAATCAAGGAGGCCTCAGTGGAAGGCAGAATAAATTCTTAGTGCTGCAAGTCTCAATAAGGAAGATGGTGACATGACCACCACCACCACCCCCTCCTGCCCCCAGTCAAAGCACCGGATGTGTGGGGACATGCAGTGGGGAGTGTGTTTAGCTGCCTGAAGAGGTGAAGGTTAGAGTGAGGGTGAAATGGGGAGAGGCTGTGTATGTCATCCAGCTCTCTTCACTCACTTATTAGCAGCTGATAACGAGAATGACTGGAGTCAGCCTCCTGCCTTTCACCAGTTGAAGCCCCTCTCTGCTTCTTTCTCTTTTGGTGACCAACCCTCTTGGTTTGCCTGGGACTGTCCATCCTGGGAAAACCCTTAGGCCAGGGCAAACTGGAATGATTAGTCCCCCTGATTGAATTTTGCGGTATTTGACTAAGACATGTGACCGCTGAGAAACTGCCCCAGGTCCGCTTCCTCTGTTACTAGTTTCTCAGAAAATGGTATATATGTGCAAGATCCTTAATTTAAATAATAACAGTAACTGCTATCTACTATATGCCAAGTACCTGGTGTTTAATCCTCAGCGCAACTATGTAAGTAGGATATTTTAAATCCAGTTTTATGCAAGAGGAGATCAGAGCTAAGGGCTGGGGCAGTTCGTGTTTTCCAAGGTCAAACAACTAGATTGCAGCTGAACCACATTTGACTTTAGTGTGTCTAAAACTAAGCTCTGTCCCCTTTGCACTAGTTGAAGAAGTTGCTGGATTTGATGGCAAATGGTTAGCTGCTCAGATTGAGAAGCCCTATGACCATCAGCTTTACCCTCTGCTTCCAAACTCATTCCTCTTAATGGTAGTATAAGATTCTACCTATAGAATATAGAGTAATATACAGAGTTACAAGCTGTGCGTGCATGTGTGCTTAGTCATGACCAATTCTTTGCAAAACTTTGGACTGTGGCCCTCCAGGCTCCTCAGTCCATGGGATTCTCCAGGCAAGAATATTGGAGGGGATTTCCATGCCTTCTTCCAGAGGATCTCCCTGACCCAGAATCTGATCCCATGTCTCCTGTGTCTTTTGCATTAGCTGGCGGGTTCTTTACCTGCTGAGCCATTGTGTGTGTGTGTGTGCTCAGTCACGTCCAACTCTTTGCAACTCTATGGACCATAGCCCATTAGGCTCCTCTATGCATGGGACTCTCCAGGCAAGAATACTGGAGTGGGTTGCCATGTCTTCCTCCAGGGGATCTTCCCTACCCAGGGATCTAACCCTTGTCTCCTGTGTCTCTTCCACTGGCAGGTGGGTTCTTTACCGCTAGCGCCACCTAGGAAGCCCCCACTTAGCCACTGGAGAAACCCATAATCTGTGTAGTTCAGTTCAGTTCAGTTGCTCAGTTATGTCTGACTCCTAGTGACCCCATGGACTGCAGCATGCTAGGCCTCCCTGTCCATCACCAACTCCCGGAGTTTACTCAAACTTATGTCCATTGAGTCGGTGATGCCATCCAACCACCTCATCCTCTGTCGTCCCCTTCTCCTCCCGTCATCAGTCTTTCCCAGGATCAGGGTCTTTTCAAATGAGTCCATTCTTTGCATAAGGTGGCCAAAGTATTGGAGTTTCAGCTTCAGCATCAGTCCTTCCAATGAATATTCAGGACTGATTTCCTTGAGGATGCGCTGGTTGGATCTCCTTGCAGTCCAAGGGACTCACACCACAGTTCAAAAGCATCAATTCTTTGGCGCTCAGCTTTCTTTATAGTCCAACTCTCACATCCATACATGACTGCTGGAAAAACCATAGCTTTGACTAGACGGACATTTGTTGGCAAAGTAATGTCTCTGCTTTTTAATATGCTGTCTAGGTTGGTCATAACTTTTCTTCCAAGGAGTAAGTGTCTTTTAATTTAATGGCTGCAGTCACCATCTGCGGTGATTTTGGAGCCCCCCAAAATAAAGTCCGTCACTGTTTCCATTATTTCCCCATCTATTTACCTTGAAGTGATGGGACTAGATGCCATGATCTTAGTTTTCTGAATGTTGAATCTGAAGCCAACTTTTTCACTTTAGTTGTGTCCAAAATCTGTGCAGGAAGCTACAATAACTACTTTAGTTTGATACCTGTAGCAGCCCCTGAATAACTATTCAATTTTTAAAGGAACTATGAAGTAACTGGCACATAGCAGATGCTCAGTTAAGGGTAGCTATGCTTCTTATTTTAATTTTGACACATGAGCTATTATATTGAACTGAAATGTTTTAGCTAATGCATGTCAATTCAAACATAAAAATGGCCAAAGATCCAGAATATCCAAGGAAAGAAAATAATACAGTTCTTGAGTTCAAAATTAAGCAAACACATACACACAAAAACCAACTTTTTTTCCCCCACCAAGGAAAAGCTATCTCAGTTATTTGATTTGGAATAGAGAAGAGGCTTCCTTGCCATAATGAGGTGTTACACATATAATGCTGAGGTAGAAGCAGAAAATTCTAGGGCTCCAAGCTACAAGTACATTTCTGGGGAAAATCTAATCTTGGGGCTCAGCTCTAAGAAATTCCTTTACTAAAATCATTGGAAACTCTTGGTGTAATAATGGAAGTCCCAACTTGTAGGGATCACATTAAGAGGTAAATGCACTGGGTTGTGTGGAGGCATGTAAGAAGCTTTTAGGTTACTCTCAATAAAAACTTGATGTTTTTATGTAATCAGTTCACACCTGAGAGTTGTGCCTTTACTAGAGGATGAAACACAGTTATGGTCACATAATTTATAGCTATATTTGAGGAGGACTCATATAACAGATATAACTTGTTGAAGGTGAAAGAGGAGAGTGAAAAGGCTGGTTTATAACTCAACATTCAAAAAACTAAGATCATGGCATCCAGTCCCATCACTTTAGGGCAAACAGAAGGGGAAAATATAGAAGCAGTGGTGGATTTTCTTTTCTTCAGCTCCAAAATCACTGTGGACAGTGACTGCAGCCATGAAATTAAAAGACACTTACTCCTTTGGAAGGAAAGTTATGACAAACCTAGACAGCATGTTAAAAAGCAGAGACATTACTTTGCCAACAAAGGTCCGTCTAGTCAAAGCTGTGGTTTTTCCAGTGGTCACGTATGGATGTGAGAGCTGGACCATGAAGAAGGCTGAAGGCTGAAGACTGTTGCATTTGAACTGTGCTGTTGGAGAAGACTCTTGAGAGTCCCTTGGACTGCAAGGAGATTAAACCAGTCAATCCTAAAGGAAATCAGTCCTGACTATTCATTGGAAGGACTGATGCTGAAGCTGAAGCTCCAATACTTTGGCCACCAGATGTGAAAAGCCGACTCATTGGAAAAGACCCTGACACTGAGAAAGACTGAAGGCAGGAGGAGAAGAGGATGACAGGATGCGATGGTTAAATAGCATCACCGACTCAATGGACATGAAATTTAAGCAAACTCTGGGAGATAGTGAAGGACAGGGAAACCTGGTGTGCTGTAGTCCATGGGGTTGCAAAGAGTTGGACACGACTGAGCAACTGAACAATAATAACAATATATAACGGAAGAGATACGTGAATTCAGTTTTATGCAACTCAACAAATGTGTACCCACTAGGTTTCAAGGAGTGTTCTAGAGCCAGGGGATACAGGGAGAAAGCACAGGCGTCCCCTGACCTCAGGGAGTTCACATGGAAGCAGAGGAGATAAGATACATATAGAGGTAGTTTTTCTAGGACCAGTCTGAGTCTTCACAGGGCCTTAGTCTGCTCAGACTTCCATAACAAAATGCCACAGACTGGGTAGCTCACAGAACGGGTACTTTTCACAGTTCTGGAGGCTGGAAGTCTAAAATCAGGGTGCCAGCATGGTTGTGTCCTGGTTTGCAGCCTTCTCATTGTGTTTTTACATGGCCTTTCCTCTCTTATGAGCCAATAGTCCTATAATGGACCAGGATCCCACCTCTATTCCTCATTCAACCTTAATTGTCTTCTCAAAGCCCTGTCTCAAAATGTGGTCACATTGGAGGCTAGCTAGGTCTTCAACATATGAATTGGGGGGGATATAATTCAGTCTATAACAATAGGCCCTAACCCACATTATAATGAATATATTAAAATGCACCCATACCAAATGTTATACCCATTATTATTATTATTATTTTGCTGCATAGTAAATGAAAGGAATTTTATAATTCTGCTTTTGAAATTATTGGGCTCTGAGTAATTTATGATTGGCTGCTACTGCTTAGCAGTCAGTCATTCTTGGAATTTTTTTTATTTTACAAAATTAGAAAATCATCAATTGTTTTCAAATGTAATGAAATAACGTCTGAATTCCAAATTTGACCTTAATGAGATAGATACGATACTAGATTTTTATGCTTAATTGAGCATTAACTAATTTATATTTTGCAGTTTTTATATTTTGTAGCCAATATATTTTTTCCAGGTCTCAAATACTTCTGTAGGCTCTTGTAAAGCTTGCTAGGCCAAATGCCTTGTCTGTAATGTCAAATGGACGAAAGGGTGGGGATGTCTCTTAGCTCTGCTTCACACTCCTAGGTAGGTCACTCCTAACTTTCTTCGCTCTTCCAAACTCTGGTGTGGCATTCCCAGCTGTTGTGTCTCACTGGTACTATATCCTGGCTGTGTTCCAAGCACCCTTGTCCCTTCCACCCTACCTCGTAGTTTGTTGTCCTTGCCATCTCTGTTACATTGACATCACCATCTACCTGGTAGGAGACTCAGAAGTCATTGCAGTGATCATCAGTCTCCCAAGTCCCCCTGTTTCAGGTTTCAAGCTGTTATCAGGATGACTACATGGGAATTGCCTGGAAACTTTGAATACCGATTTCCATGCCTCATCCCTGGAGTCCTGTGTAGTGGTCTTGGGGCTTGGGTATCATAGGGCTTGGGAGTTGTTTTTTAACAAGCTAGTATGCTGTCAGGTTTGAGAAGGTGTGGACTTGGGCAGTATTGGTGGAATGAATCAAGAGATGTGGATATTCATAACAAGAACAATGTTCCCTATATTATGATAACATGAAATCCCATTGGCTTTAATGTTCCAAATCAGAGGTTCTCAAAGGACTCCCCAGCTGTTTCCAAAATGCCCCCAGAGTGTTGCCTTAAGGATGTTCAGGAGCATTCTCTCCTGGCCTCTAGTCTTTGTGTTCCAGAATAGGAAATGGCAGCCCACTCCAGTATTCTTGCCTGGGAAACCCCATGAACAGAGGAGCCTGGCAGGTTATAGTCTGTGGGGTCACGAGGGTCAGCCATGATTTAGCGAATGAGCATGCACACCCTGTAACAACAGCCATTACAGGAAGAAATTCTGCTGTCTCTTTATTTTCTCTCAAGTATGAGACAGGCTCTTTATTTCTCCATAACACATCAGAGACCAAGTGCAAACTCATAATGAAGCTTGCTAAAAGAGCAGAGCAAAACGGAATAACTCCTATTATGTACAGGCTCACATGCATTTTCAGCCGCTCTACCCTACTCTTGACCCGCCCCTTCCAAGGCCAGACAGCAGTTTATCCTTCACTCTAGTACTCATTCCAGATATACCCCTATGGTAAGAGTTCAGGCAAAACTAACTTTCATTCCAAGAAAGAGACGGAAATTTTTTCTCACCTTGCTGTTGAAGCCTGTCCCCTGGGCCTGGTTTTTTATTTCAGAATGATTGAGCAGAATAGCTGTGCCCTTCAGGGAAAATCAAACCAAAGTTGTACTTTGTGGCTGCACTAGGACAATCATACATACAGTACTTTGGTGTCGAGATATATTCTGAAGTCCAGATTATTCACTTAAATGATACCATCTGTTCAACTTCAATAGCTTCATCCAGATTTAGATGTATGTATGCTTAGTCTAATTCTTTATTTGTCTTTTTAATAAAGCTTCAAAATCCTTGCAGTATAGTCTTACTCATGGTCACTTTGTTACACATGCTCTGGGCACAGTAAATGAATTATGTGTCCATCAGTTGATGTAATAACTGTATATGGTAGTTTTTTCTTTTTAAATTTGAACAAACAGAAAGCAGAGAGGTTAAGCAGCTTAACCAAGGTCAAGCTTCCAGGAAAGAGCACACTGAGGTTTGAACTGAGGCCCCTTGGTTCCAAATCTGTGAATCTAACTATTATGAAACAAGGAGAAGCGCTGAGGTAGACTGAATATTGAACTTGAGTAATGGGACTTGGAAGAGTAATGCCGTTAATTTAGTCCAGTTCAGTCGTTCAGTCGTGTCCGACTCTGCGACCCCATGAATCTCAGCACGCTGGGCCTCCCTGTCCATCACCAACTCCCGGAGTTTACTCAAAGTCATGTCCATCGAGTTGGTGATGCCATCCAGCCATCTCATCCTCTGTCGTCCCCTTCTCCTCCTGCTTCTAATCCCTCCCAGCATCAGGGTCTTTTCTAATGAGTCAACTCTTCACATCAGGTGGCCAAAGTATTGGAGTTTCAGCTTCAGCATCAGTGCTTCCAATGAACACCCAGGACTGATCTCCTTTAGGATGGACTGGTTGGATCTCCTTGCAGTCCAAGGGACTCTCAAGAGTCTTCTCCAGCACCACAGTTCAAAAGCATCCATTTTTTGGCCCTCAGCTTTCTTCACAGTCCAACTCTCACATCCATACATGACCACTGGAGAAACCAGTCTTGACTAGATGGACCTTTGTTGGCAAAGTAATATCTCTGCTTTTTAATATGCAGCCTAGGTTGGTCATAACTTTCCTTCCAAGGAGTGTCTTTTAATTTCATGGCTGCAGTCACCATCTGCAGTGATTTTGGAGCCCCCCAAAATAAAAAGTCTGACACTGTTTCTACTGTTTCCCCATCTATTTGCCATGAAGTGATGGAACAAGATGCCGTGATCTTAGTTTTCTGAATGTTGAGCTTTAAGCCAACTTTTTCACTCTCCTCTTTAACTTTCATCAAGAGGATTTTTAGTTCCTCTTCACTTTCTGCCGTAAGGGTGGTGTCATCTACATATCTGAGGTTATTGATAATCTCTCCTGGCAATCTTGATTCCGGCCTGTGTTTCTTCCAACCCAGCATTTTTCATGATGTACTCTGCAGATAAGTTAAATAAGCAGGGTGACAATATACAGCTTTGACGTACTCCTTTTCCTATTTGGAACCAGTCTGTTGTTCCATGTCCAGTTCTAACTGTTGCTTCCTGACCTGCATATAGGTTTCTCAAGAGGCAGGCCAGGTGGTCTGGTATGCCCATCTCTTTCAGAATTTTCCACAGTTTATTGTGATCCACACAGTCAAAGGCTTTGGCATAGCCAATAAAGCAGAAATAGATGTTTTTCTGGAACTCTCTTGCTTTTTTCTTGATCCAGCGGATGCTGGCAATTTGATCTCTGGTTCCTCTGCCTTTTCTAAAAGCAGCTTGTGCATCTATGGGGGAAAAGCTTGGAAGAGGTGGTGTGACGGAGGAGGAGGGAGGGAGGTGGTAAGGTCAGCTTGGGCTCTGGAACAAGAGCCACTGGGCATCATTGGGTCTTTGGCTCTCTTATCACTCTGTCCTGGCTTGAGGATTATCTTTCTGAATCGTCTTCTTTGTTTCCAAGTTAATCACCATCCTTGACTCTCTAGGAGCCGTGCACCAGCCCAGGCTGTGGTGAAGCAGCCTGTCCGGGGAGCCAGCGGCAGGACGGCAATCACAGCCATTGTCCGGACTGGTGGGAACTGGAGCACCGGCCTCTTCAGTGTCTGCAGAGATAAGAGGACCTGTATGTTTTTTCTCTTTCTATAAGTTCTTTACTATTTTCTTTCCTGAGACACCAGTGGGTAGAAAAACTACATCAGGTGCAAGGACAGAAATTAAATGGTTTCAGACTAGTTGAACTAATATTCTAGTGACTCCAATATACTCCTTGGCAGGAAGAATTTTGTTTTCAGTTATGTGGATATTTTGAAAGAGTAAGTGGTGACTTAAATTTTTTTTTAAATGACAAAATCCACTGTAAACAAAGATACACAAAATGGGCTCCCTTGTCTGCAGCTGATGGAACATAAATTATTACAGGCTTCTTGGTGAATGGCTCATAATACCTGTAAAAACGACCTCAAGTGTGATGTAGCCTTTGACCTAGTAATTACATTTTTAGCCATTTAGTCTAAGGAAACAAATCATATGCAAGGTTTTAGCAGCGTCATTAAAATTGGCAGCACTGGTTATTGTAGCAACAATCTAGAACAAACTAAGGATTCAATGGGGGCTTCCATACCATGAATTATTATACAGCCTTGAGAAGTCATAAGTATCATAGAATGATACTTACTGAGATGGAAAAATTTTGGGATACATTTTTAAGTTAAAGAATCAGATTGTAAAACCATACACATTAGATATTATTTGAGGGAGGATATTTAGAGAATTATCTGGAAGGATACAAATACAAATGCTTACAGCAGTTGTCTCCAGATGGTATGATAATGAATAATTTTTCTTTTTGCTTATTTCTAGTATTTCTGTGAGGAAACTGTATTACTCTTATAACAGTAAGACCAATCATAAAAAGAAGCTCCCTTTGTTGACTGAAATCTTTTCAGATGTTGGTTTAGCTGTGAAGTACCCACAATTCTCTACTGCAAGATTTTCTCCTGGGTTAAAGTTCAAAGCACATGGTTTCTATTTTTACCTTAGGACTTTCTGACTGGTCTCTGGTACCACCTGTCAGTATCCTTTTCCAGGACCTGATGCTCTTGCCCTAAGGAGTAACTTGGTCACAGAATCTCCTTTTTGCTGGGGGGTGGTTTCCTTTCTGATGGATGAGGGCTAGGCTCTTAAATTCAATAGACTTTAATATTTTCAAAGAATATGGCTTCCCATCCTGTAGAGGCTCTGGCAAGATCTGAATTTGTCCTAAAGCCTCACAGGATGGATCAACCAAAGACCTCTGAGCCATCATCCAATCCAAAGCTTATTCAGCTGGGTCTTGCTGAGTCAAAAGCTCTAAACCATTTTTGGTGTTCTGATCATCCAAGCCTGAGCCTTCATTATTTGCCTGGGCCTCACAGACAAGAGACCTCCCAGCGCTAAACCATAACTTCTGTCGCTGTCCCTTTGACCATCTGACCCAGAGCCAGGCAGATTTCTTCCTGCCATTGCTACCCATGTGAACTCCTGACCAGACAATTATGGCAACTGTTCTCTGATTCTGTCAGGATTCTTCCTGGTTCTTGTCCACACTCTCTGACCTTGGTTGTTACCCACTATTGTAGTACAGAGAAGGCAGAATAACCATAGGGAGATACAGAGACCTTACCCCAATTTGGGAACTGGACGATTTTCCTTTCATAGCTTGTAGCTGGTGATTGGGAGTTGGGGTATCAATGCATTTCCAAGTAGAGCAAAGCTTGATATATAGTGTAGTGGCTAGGAGAACATATTTGTGTTGGGTATAGTCCTCGCTTTAATCTTAACTCTTAACTTAATCTTAACTCTGCCTCTTACTGGCAATTTGACCTTGAACAAATTCTCAGAGTTTTCATTTTTTCACCTCTAAAATGAAGGTAAATAAAGGTGCCCACCTTAAAGATTGTCAAGGTTAAAACAGATAATGCATAGAACCCACTCAAGAACACTGGTCTGGAACATAACTGGATCAAAATTCCTGTCCACCTATAGGCTCTGCATGTGGCCTTATTTAGAAATAGTCTTGCATTGTTGTCAAGTTAATAAGAGGTTATGCTAGATTAGGGTGGGCTCTAATCCAATGACTGGTATTCTTAAGGAAATTTGGACAGACACACAGCAAAGATTGCCATGTGAAGACAGGCACAGCTTAAATAATGCATCTATAAGCCAGAGACTGTCAAGGATTGCCAGCAACCACCAAAAGTTTGGAGACAAGAATGGAAAAGACTTTCCCCTAGAGCTTCCAGAGGACCAACTCTGCCAACACATTGACTTCAGACTTCTAGCCTCCAGAATTCTCCAGTGAGAGAATACTTTCTATTGTTTTGAGATGTCCAGTCTGCGATATTTTGTTATGGCAGCCCTAGGAAATTAATACCAAAGCAAACATTGAATTTCATTAGGCGGCTATGGGGGGCAGTTCACAAAATCAGGAAATAAAACAAAAACCTGCGCTTACAAGGGACAAGATGCATTATCAGGAGATAGTTGACAAACTGGTCAACTCCAAACATTTTAATCCTTATGCTTTCCTGTCTGGGAATTACTCTGTCAGCAATGGAGCCTGTTTTGCCTAGCCTAAGTCATGCCTGCTGCTTGACCAGCCCAGGGCATTTTGAGTGACAGTTCTACCACTATGGCTGGCCATAGTGAAGGGGTATTTTCCTAAATTCACTACTGGGGTGTGTTACCAGGAACACCCCCCTCCCCACTGCAATAATACACAGTGATGACCTTAGTAATCTCAGGTATTAATATTGTTATTATAAATTTTTATCTTCCAGCATGTTGAGAGCAAAGAGTAGAATCAGGAGACTTAGACTAGCTGCTGCCTAATTCCAAGAGTACTTAAAAAAAAGTTGATCGAAGAAAGGACGGTTCCCCACCCCCTCCGCCTTAAACCCTGCACACTGGGTCTTCCGGGTCCCTGCTTGTCCATTTGAGAGCCCATTCTAGGGGCCAGGGAGGAAGGAAGGACATGTGAAGAATACAGTATTCTTTACAGTTGGATGTGACCTGCACAGGAGAGGCCATGGATATTATAGTACCAGGTGATGGCGAATGTTTTGTGTCCTAACTGATCTTCCCTGGATGGGCCTCTGCTTCGTGACTGCTCATAGAGTCTCCAAGCTCATTGTCTCACCAGAAAATTTAAAGGCAGTATGACCTTATACACTGGTTGTCTGCTCCACAGTTCCCAGGACGCAGCTGGAGCACTAGTGCCATGAGTGGTGGATTTTTTTCCTTCTTTGTTTAAATGGTCTACTTCAACCACAAAATTTTATTTCAAGCAAATCACTGTGACAGTAGTTGTGGCAAACTTGGAAACAAAAGGGAGATCTTCTTTCCATGACTTTGTTTCACATCAGGTTCCCATCCTGGGAACCGTTTTTTGCATTAAATGTTGAGAATGACTGCTACAATTTGTCATCCATTAAGCAAAGGGTACATTATGAGCAGTGATGATTTCCATTTATTTTTGACATTTTGATTCTTCATTTAATTGCGGTTCTATTTTTTAAACTGCCTCCCTCTTCCCACCTCAGCTCTTTCATCTGAATTCACACTGCACAGGGATTAGAAATAGGTGCTTCTATGTCCTTTGAAGATGCGGCTTCTGAAAGCTCAGATGAGAAGATGAAGCCAAGATGAAATAAGTGGCTGCGAAATGGCTTCATGGGTGAAAGGCTGGCCGTTCTAGCTGGGGATGTTTGTGATGTTGTCTCAGAGGAGGTTGACATGGAAGGTGTAATCTACCTGGGTTTATAATTCAGCCAGTATTTACCTATGTATAGTCATGTGATAGGTGTTGCAGACATAATAGTGAATAAGACAGAGATGGTTTCTGGGACGAGATAAGCAATAAGCAAATAGACAAAATAATTGCAGTGGTGCTAAATGCCATGGAGGAAATAAACAGGGTGTTCTGAAAGGAAATTATAGGGGGTAAGTAAAGGATGGCATCTCTGGGGAACTGACTTAAGCTGATTCCTGAAAGATGGGAAACAGCCAGCCACTAAAACCACCTTTCCTTTGGAGGCGCCACAAGTGTCAGGCAACAAAGAGCTTTGTGTGGATGAGGAATCATCAGATGCCCAAGGTGGGGAGAGGGAAGCAGGCCAGGAATTTCTCTTTGGTTTTCTGGAAGAGGAAGAGACATGAAAAGGCCCCAGGCTGGGAGTCACATCCCTGAACTGTATTTTGGGTACACTGCATACCATCTGCAAGCAGTGACAACTGGTCGTGCTCACTGGTCTTGCCCAGCAGAGATCTGACTAACAGGAGGCGCTTATGAATATTTCCTGAATGACAGACACATCAGTGAATGAATTTTAACCTGTATTCTCACTTGCTTCCTTCTTTCCTGCACTTCACTGAAACAATCATACAGAGTCAGGAGGGATATTGAGGTCACCTGGCTGGGCCCTCAGCAGCTTGTCTAAGTTCTTCCTACAGGAGGCGTGGCAAGGACCTGACAGCCTTGGCTTTCTGAACATTTCTAGGGAGGAGGGCTCCTCTCCCTTGGAGCCAGCTCAGTGCTTTAAAAAAATGATTTTGAATAGATTACCAGGCACATGGTACAAAATTCAAAAGTACCTGTCCCTTTAGTATATGAAGAACAGGAAGTTCATCCCTGTTCTCCCGTGCTTCCCAGTTCTCCCCAGAGCCCATCACTCTCGCCTGAGCCCCAGTATAGTCTGTAAAGATATAAACCATTTTAATGAAGATAGATTAATTTTTTTATTAGAAAAGTATCATATAATCATGGGAATAAAGAAAAGTATAAAAGATTATAAAAGAAGAAAGCTGTACCCTATAAATCCAGCCATCGGAGATAAACATTGTTAATATTTCAGTATCTATCCTTCCAGATTTTTTCTGTATATGTGGTATATATAATTGATGCAAATAATGGAATTATAAACACACAATTCTGCATCTTTATTTTGTTTTAATTTAACAATATAGGTGATCAGACCTTATCAGGTCTTCTGGAGCTAATATTTTAAATGGCTGCATAGATTGCATTGTATGAATGTACCATAATTCATTTATCCACAAATTCTTATAAGCAGACCTTTTTGTGGT